TGGGACAGAGGAACTCTGGGGAGGGGGGACTGGGGGAGATGTGAGTGTTGGGGGGGCTATTGATACAGTGAGGGGCAGGGGTAGGTATGATGGAGATCTGAGGGTGGGCTGTACTTGGGGACACCAGGAACACTGTCAGAGAGTGATTCTCATGTCTGGTCCTCAGCATTGGCCCTCAGAATCAGGTAGGCATCCTTGGTGGTCCGGAGTCTGGCTGCTGCTTTTGAATGCCAGGCTGGTGTGTAATACATCTGTCCTCTTTCATGATCTAATATTGTGGATGAGGGTGCAAATCTGGCATGCATAACTGAGACGTGGATGGGCTTGGGGGTGGGATGGGGATTGACCCTCTGGCTTAAGTTGGGCCTGGAACATTTGAGATTGTTGGTGATGTACCACCATCCCTGCTGCCAGCATCTTCCATGCCTGAGCTGCTGGATTCCTTGGCCAGGTTGGCGGTGGAGTCCTTGAGGCTGATGGTCTTTGGGGACTTTAACCTGCCACTTGGCGATGTTGAGTCCAGGAATGCTCAGGAGTTCATGGCCTCCATGGCAACCATGGACCTGTCCCAAATGATAGAGATCAGTTCCAGTCAGTTCCAGTTAGTGTTGATGGGGAGGAGAGATCACGTCTGTGGCCCCTCATGAGTGGGGTGCCTCTGGGCTCAGTGCTCTCCCCTTTCCTGTTTAACATCTACATGAAACCACTGGGTAAGGTCATTCACCAATTTGGGTTTCAGTATCATCAGTTTGCTGATGGTATTCAGCTTTACATCTCAACCCTGAGCTGCACAGATGAAGCTATCGATGTATTGACCCAGCATCTGGAGGCTGTTCAGGTCTGGGTGGGGCAGAACAGACTATAGTTGACATCATCAGCTGGCTCAGTGTAATCTTAAAATAAGCATGTTATGAAAATGTCTGCGGCTGGGCCAAGATAAATTAAAGTGGGTTGTTAAGAGGGAAAATACAGCTACTAATGGTTGACCTTGAGAGAGTTTAGAACACATTGTTCTGCAAAAGAAGATTAATCAAATTTATATAGATTCTGCAGTCTTCATCATCCCCCCCCCTTCTTCCACATACTAAAATGTTCTCTGTTTTTCTCCTCCTCCTACTTTGACCTCCTTCCTTGCGGAGCACACCAATCTATCTTGATCAAAATGTCCTTGTGATCGGAAACTGCTACTTCAAAGTTTCTTATTGTTGTTTTCTTCCCTCTTTCTACATTACCACTAAGTTTCTCTGGGAGCACTCTTTCTCCTTGTTCCATTTTCACCTGTAGTTGATCTACCAGAGAAAGATAATTGATATGTAACACATGCAGGAAAAATGTGGCTCAGAGTCTATTTATGTCCTCTAAGACAAAGTGATCTCAGGCAGGCAATACATATCAGCCCACCCAATTTACACATAATACATGTTGCAATGCTCCCCACTGGAGCAGTGAGACATCCTCTCTGATCAGTGAATATTTGGGATAGCTCCTCCACTGCATTTCACCCATAGTGTCCCTTTGGGATCACCCCTTTGGGATCACCTATAGCAAAGAGGGGTGGGTGGGTGG